GCGTTAAAATTAGGCTTGGCGCCTGACCCCAGGCTTTGGCGCCTAAAACCAGGTCTAGCGCCTGGCGCTAGCCATTGGCGCCTGGCGCCAGCTCTGTTTTTTGTGCGTCAGACTCTGTTTTGTTTAATTTATCTTTTTTGCTGATTTTCTCTATAAATATCATATTAAAAACTCCGTTTTCATTCATCAATATTCACCAATTCTCATCTACATTCATCTACAATCAGTTTTAATTAGAATTCTTTCAATTCTTTCTTTCTTTCTCTTTTCAAAACTTTGCGTTTCACATACAAAATTCCGCATTCACAAGATCTAGAAACCTCTAGCCACATTCGAAGTTGCCTTCGCCCTAGACGTGAAAGGTTTTAATTTCTGAGGGTTTGGTCACAAATCTCTCTTTCAATTATTTGATTGTTTTGTTTATTATTTTCCTTGAAGTTACTAACGTGTGTATTTTGTTATTAGAAAGAGGTACGAGGCATCAAAGTAAGTGCTTTAATGGTTTTTATTGATGTTATGATGTAGAAATCATGTTTATATTGTTATTATGATATTCCTAGTATCATGTCTAGGGTAATTTTAATATTAAATATGATTGTTACGATGCTTCCTATATTCTTTTTAATATTTATGATTGTTAGTATCATGCTAGGGTTTGTTATTAATCTTGTTAGTATCATGCCTAGGATCTTGCTATGCTTTAACATGATTATTATTATTATTGATATTATGATTATTATGATTGTTTTAATTATAGTTTATTTTTATGATTATAATTTTATAATGATGATATTTATTATGATTATTATTTTATTGCTTGACCACACCTTTTATGCATGTTTAAAGGGAATTGGTACTTGTAATCACGCTTAATAAGATATTAATAATCTTGTTTTGGGTTAATTATGATTATAATTTCAAGTGATCGCCAATAATAGATTTATTTGTGCATTATATTCAACCAACATAGATAAACCGGTTTAGGGTTAATCCTATTGATTGCATGTTAGTTAGAAAGCGCACATGAATACGATCAGAATAAAGTAGAGGCATATTATTAGGGCAGGTTCAATCTCTTTTAGGTTGGATTTGTACCATCATCCCCGAACCCTTATTTGGTTCATGACCTTATGGATTTGACGATCTCTTGGATCGTTAAGGGGTGTAACCTTCACCTCGTGAACGGTTTACAAGTTCCTAAAAAACTTGTTGGCGACTCTTTTGCTCTATCTTCTTCCCTTTTGGACGCCACCGTACTTTAGTGTATGATCACAGTGGGGTTCAAGCTAGTGGGATTTAAAGCTTGAAATTATTCCCTACAGTTTTTGGCGACTCCACTGGGGAGGATTTCTATTTTAATTCCTGAATTTGTTTTGGCAATGATTTAGAATGAGTGGATGAGACTCAAAAAGTTCTAAGTATTTCATGTGCGTAATTTTGATTAACATTATTTTCATATGCATAAAAAAGATCTCATTAGAAAGACCATCCGTAATGAGTTAAAAACCTAGGATTTTACACGTAGGAAATTTGAGAAATATCTTTCACAACTAGGACTGAAATAACACCGCGCGAAACTGGAAAATTTTATCGAGCACAGAAAGCTGCTGAGACATGTGGGAAGTAGCGTCAGGGGCCAGAGCTTGGCTCCAGTATTTTAGTTGTAGTTCCAGATGCCAGTATTGGCGCCAGGTGCTACAGTTAAAATCTAGCGCCAGTCTCTGTTTGCTGGTGCCAATTTCCCCCAATACCGAGCTAGAAATATGCGTTCTAATTTCGACCGGTTTTTCGTATTGTTTGCTCGATCCTACTACCTGATTGAAATTTTTCTCACATTTATGAAACCCATATGTGTTCTACATATGGACATAACCCTCTGGAAATTCATGCTCCATCTACCCGATTGAACGCTCCGTGCAACAAAGGGTACATCCGAGATGTTGAATTCACCAAACCATGGAAGCGAGTTTTTTTCTAAAGCTCGCGATGTCCCATCCACTCGCGCCAACCCTTCACGGTTAGGCTTCCGCGCGGTGTATCCGGATAATTAACCATGGACCCTCTATTGACTAAACCATATCCCGAACTTTAGAGAATTAGAGCCATGGTTAGGTTGCAAACTCATTGCATCATATTGTGCCTACTTGACTAATTGTGCATTATTTGTTGTGCATACTCTATGTGATTTTTCCTAACTGTTTGTTTGACTTGTGTTAAGACTAAATAAACTGATTAATGACTAAAGGACTTTGTTTAATTTATTAATTAATTTGAGCTAATAAATAAACATAAAATCGAGTCATAGTTCCTTTAAGTCAACCCGGATTTTTATTCCCGTATACTACACAAGCGTCAACTTGTTTTGGTCATAGCCGGAGTTCTAGGAAGAGTTACGAGTCCTACAGCCTATGGATCTGTAGCCCCGAGTTTTACCTTTAATTTGGAGTTGGTTTGATCCAAATCAGAGTCACAGATAAAAGGTTATGACTAAAATACCACAGTCTGTCCAGTTTAATGCATATACGTGCACTAGTAGAAAATATCAAAAAGGCACCCCCTAATCGGCACCGGTTCAGTCCAAACCGGTGCCAAAAATGGCCTACAAAATTGGTGGGAAGGTAAACCAGAGTAAACGGCACTAGTTCACTTCAAACCGGTGCCAAAATCACAAAGGCCACCGGTTTGAACCGGTGTCTTTGTGAACCGGACCTTTTATTATTTTTTTTAAAAAAAACCGGCCTTATCTCTCCTTAAAACCCTAAAACTTAGCTTGCTCCTTCTCTCTCCTCTCAGTCCGCCTCTTTCATCACTCTCTCCTCTCCCTTCTCTCTCCTCTGCTCTCCCTTCTTGCTCTATCTCCTCTGCCTTCTTGCTCTATCTCCTCTGCTCTCCCTTAATCTCTTCTCTTTCTCTTCGAACCTCTTCTCTTCTCTTCAAACACCACCGCAACAAAACCTTCTCGATCTCTCCTCTGCTCTCCCTTAAACCGCAACAACAACAACATGCAATAATTAACCGCAACAACAACAACAACACCGCAAAGCCGCCGCCGCCACCGTAACATCAAGTTGATTTGGGTTTGTTCGAAGTTGATTTTGGGTTTAATTGCTTTGATGAGTGTCTTCGAAATTTTTTATGGGTTTCTTTAAAAAATAATTTGTTTAATCCACCACGAATTAAATTTGTTTTATTGATTTATTTTTTATTTTAATCGATTTAAATTTGTTTTTTTAAAGTGATTTTCGATTTTCTAGTTTGGTTAATCAATTTTTTAACTTATTTTAATTCGAATTTATTTTAATTTCTGGGTTTTTTTTTCGAATTTATTTTTTTATTTTCTAGGTTTTAATTGATGTTCTGGGTTTTAATTGATTTTCTGGGTTGTAATTGATGTTATGCGTTTTTGAACTGATTTTCTTTTTGTTTTTCTTTTTTTTTTTCCGATTTTTTGGGTTTTTTTTTTGGATTTTTGAACTGTTTTTTTTTTTCGATTTTCTGGGTTTTTTTTTTTCCAATTCATTTTCTTTTTTGAACTGATTTTCATTTTCATTTTCTGGGTTATTCTTTTCTTTTTTTCGATTTTCTTTTTTTTTTCGATTTTCTGGGTTTTTGAATTGATTCATGTTAATCGATTCATTTTGGTTGTTTTAATTGGTGCAGGCATATGGATTTAGTTCTTAAATTGAAGAATCAACATGCAAGTATATTGATTTAAATCGAAGAATCAACTAATTTTCTTTTTTTTTATTTATATTGTAATTTTTTTTATTTATATGTTGTAAATTTTTTATTTTGATTTAGCTGTTGTAATTTATTTTGCTCTATACTGTAATTTTTTTTGATTATATATATAATGAACAGATTTGATTATATTAATATTTTGGCACTTTTGGTTATTATTAAGATTTTATTATACTGTAATTTTTTTTATTATATATATTAATATTATAATGAACAGATTTTATTATATTAATAGTAATACAGATTTAGTTTTTAAGTAAAAAAAAATTATTATGTTGGTACTTTTGGCACCGGTTAACTGGTGCCAAAAAAGGAATCATAAAATTTTTTGGTACTTTTTGGCACCGGTTAACCGGTGCCAATTTCAACTTTTGGCACCGGTTTGAACCGGTGCCTTTTTAAACCCCTTTTTGGCACCCCCCACATTGGCACCAATTCAATCTCTTTTAGGTTGGATTTGTACCATCATCCCCGAACCCTTATTTGGTTCATGATCTTATGGAGTTGACGATCTCTTGGATCGTTAAGGGGTGTAACCTTCACCTCGTGAACGGTTTACAAGTTCCTAAAAAACTTGTTGGCGACTCTTTTGCTCTATCTTCTTCCCTTTTGGACGCCACCGTACTTTAATGTATGATCACAGTTGGGTTCAAGCTAGTGGGATTAATGCTTGAAATTTATTCCCTACAGTGGGTGATCAAGTTAGCTCGACAATTCAATATTTCTTTGCCCGGGGGTATTTGCTGAAAGATTGGAATCGAACCTTCCTGGTACTTTTGCCTAAGGTTGATCATCTAGAATCTCCTTCCCAGTTTCGGCCTATTGGATTGTGTAATGTGTTATATAAATGCATTGCGAAGTGCATGACAAGCCGTTTGAGGAAAGTTATGCTTCTCCTTATCTCAGATTCGCAATCTGCCTTTGTTCCGGGCCGTTTAATGTCGGATAATACTCTTATTGCCCATGAGCTACTTTCCTATATGAATTCCTCCTCTTCCAGGAGATGTTCAGCAGCTTTGAAGTTGGATATGAACAAAGCCTATGTTAGGGTAAATTGGGAAATTTTATGGAATGTTCTGCAGGCTTTTGGATTCCCTCCTTATTGGATCCAAATTATTAAGCACTGTGTCTCTACAGCCAATTACCAAATCCTTGTTAATGGTAGGCCGACTCAGGTTCTACGGCCGGCTTGTGGTTTGAGGCAAGGTGATCCTTTGTCTCCTTATTCGTTTGTTCTCTGCATGGAAATTTTCTAAGTTATGCTTCGTAAGGCTGAGGCTTCTAGCCTTTTCCAAGGTTTGCGCATTACTCGGCGTGCTCCGTCAATCTCCCATCTGTTCTTTGCAGATGATGCTTTATTATTTTTCCGGGTTAATCCAGACGCTTGTTCTCATCTATTGGAAGTTGTTAATCGCTTTTGCACCATGTCAGGCCAGATGGTTAATGTCCAGAAGTCCTTTGTTAAATTCAGTTCTAATACTCCGAATGATTATCGAGAATTTTTAAGCTCTGCTTTACATATGCGAGCTCAAGATTCCATAGGAACATATTTGGTCCTCCCAGTGGATTTAGGACGTGCTAAATGTCACCAGTTCCAGCCTCTGGTAGATAAAGTATCGCAAAAGCTGTCAGCCTTCAGTTCTCGACATCTTTCTGCGGCGGTCAAGTTAGTTCTAATTAATACTGTGGTTATTGCTTCTTTAAATCATGTGCTTTCAGTTTTCAAATTGCCTGTGACAATTGCTGACCGTATCAACCGACTTCTAGCGCGATTTTGGTTGAAAAATGGTAATTCTAATAGAGGTATAGTGTTTGCCCCTCCTCCGGCCCTCCATTTTCCGAGAGGTTTAGGGGGGTTGGCATTCGACATGTGCCTTCTTTTAATTCAGCTCTTCTAGCCAAACAAATGTGGCGTTTAATTCATCATCCACAGCTTTTAGTTTCGAGGATATATCGAGCTCGATATCCTCACCTGTTAAACTATAAAGCTTCTTCTCTTCCTCCCCGTCCTTCCTGGGGTTGTCGAAGTTTGTTAGATGGAGCCCGTGTTCATTCCCATGGAGTTATGTGGAAAATGGGTTTTGGTTCCCAGATTAGTATTCTTGATGACAACTGGGTTCCAGGAGTTTATGTTTGTTTCAAGGACTTTACCTCTACTTATGAGTTTCCCACTATGGTGTCACATATTATTGATCCTGTTTCTCAGGCTTGGGATAGTACTCGCATCAAACAACTTTTTCCCCCTATTACGGCAGATTCCATCCTTGGGATGGAAAGACCTCAGGAAAAAATGGATGACTTTGTCTACTGGAAGTTCACTCGGGATGGATCGTTCACTACAAAATCAGCTTATGCTCACTTATTGAGCCAATCCTGGTCAGATAGGACTTCATCCTCTAATATTCTTCCTGTTTGGTGGAGGAAATTTTGGGGACTTCCGATTCTTCCAAAATGGAAGCTTTTTATTTGGAAAATCTTACATAATGCTCTTCCTACAGCAGCTATTTTGCTCCTAAAAGGAATTCCACTTGATTTTACTTGTGGTTTTTGTCACCATCACCAGGAAACAATTTCTCACATTTTTCAGCAATGTGAGTTTTCTTGTTTAAGCCGTAGTTCTCACCCTTTAGTTCAGCTTCGAACTATGCCTTTGGATCAAGATTTTAATTCTTGGTTGACGGATTCTATTATGGGTTTGGCGGTTTCTAAGGATTGGGCCGCTTTGGATAGTCTTTTAGCCTTTTTTTTGGTAAATAGAAGATTTTATTACCAAAAGAGAAACCAACTTACAAAAAGGCTGTAAAACAAGGAAGCCCAAACTACAACGACCAACAAGGCCCAACAAACCCAAAACCCAATTCAAACCCAAGACTAACCACCTTCTAGGAAGGGTGCTAACCTAGGGCAAGAACAAACTGAACCTAACCTACTAACCACCTTCTAGGAAGGGTGCCAGGAGGAAGGGACAGTAAATACAATTAAACAAAACAAGAACCTTACAAAAACAGCATAAAAACAACCATTACAAAGCAACAAAACAGAAGCAAAATAGCCAAAATTAGACTTGGGGAGACCAAACGAGCTTCTGTCTTTCATCCGGACCACATCTACAAGCAACTCTGTAGACAATTTGTCTAAAAACAGACTCAGCAGGTTCACAATAGCCATGAAAAAAGCACATTATTTCGTTGGATCCATATGTTGTAAATTGCTTCAGCTAAGAACATTAAGTACAATTTGCTTATCAAACCAGTCCTTCTACCTCTCTTCATAGCCCATTTTGCTTCCTGATCAATTCCCTGGACTAGTTTCTGGCACTTAAGGAGCTGTAGAACATTTGCCCAGATCCTGCTAGAATAAGTACACAAGAAAAATAAATGCTGGACAATTTTATTTCCCTGCAAACAAAGAAAGCAGACAGGATAGTCTTTTAGCCTTTCTCTGGGCTATCTGGATAACTAGGAATAATCATCGGTTCCGTTCAGAGGTTTTTTCTCCAGCTGGAGTTCTTGCTGTGGATGACTCTTAGATTACTCGTAGTAGTAATGTTAGAAATTTAAGTGATCTTTATCAGTCCTCTAGTCCTCCAGGATTTTCGGTTTCTACTCCAAAGTATTTGGGGTCTGCTGGATCTTCTGATGGGTATGATATATGTCTTACTTTTGATGGAGCTTGGAATGCAAAGGATCAACGTGCAGGTATGGGTTGGTACTTATCTTTTACCTCTACCTCACCAGCTGTCTGGGGAGGGGCTCATGCAGGTTTTGCTTCTTTCGCCCTCCATTCTAAACTGTTAGCTTGTCTCCTCGGTTTAAAGCAAGATCGCGAAAAAGGTTATTCCAAGATTCAGGTTTTTATGGACTGTGGCTTGGTTTGTTCTTTGGTCTGGGGTCATCTTTCGTATTCGATAGCGGTTTGTTGGACTTTGCGACAAATTAGACAGATCATTGCGGACTTCGGTAAATTCGACATCCAGAAGGTTCCAAGATAACTTATTGTTCGTGCTCATCAATTGGTTGGTTCAGCTTGTCGTCGTCATTTACTTTGTTTTCGTTTTTAATTTCTTAGTTCTCTTTGTCAAAAAAAAAAAAAAAACAACCTAACAGCACCAAATCCACCAACTCACACCAGCCGCAGCAAACACGACCAACCATAGCCACCCTTCTCCCGCAACAGTAAAGCGCAGCTTCCGTTGCTTTCCCTTGCTCCAGCCGCAACAAACACCGACTAGTCGCAACCTTTAATTCAGCACCCACCAAGAAGCAGCCACCATCGCCACCTTATACCTCCGTAAACCGCATCCATAAAGCAGCTCCCATGTTCCGGCCACCGCACTCAGAGTCACGTAAACAAGCTCGATTCGAACCTCACTTAACGCGGCTTCCATCGCATTCATCGCGGCCGCGCGTATCCGGGTTTGGGAGATGCAAAGCAGGGGATTGAATCCCATTTAATTTAGCAGCGAAATTCGTGAAAGGGGTCTGACGATTTTATGGGGGTTTTGCTTTAGATTTTATGATTTTCTTTTTCCTTTAATTTTGTTTATTTATTTTCCTTTTATTTTCTTTTATTTTTGTTTTCTCTTTTATTTTATTTTGTTTTAATCCTTGTAATTATAAATACCCATTTTTGGGTCAGAGAGAAAAACAATTAGAATTAGATTAGAATTAGGATTCATTTTTCTTAACTTAATTGAGAGCTTCTATCTCTAGTTTTAGGGTTAGTTTTAGGAGTAGATTTTAGAGAGAGAACGTGAGGAATTTCAATGGTGATTTGAGAGATTGAATATTCAAGGTGATAATTGTATTGAAGATCATCAAATCAATCAATGAGAATTTCTAACTCTATCTCATTTTATTGCTTTGTTTGATTTCTTATTTGTTTGGTTTGATTTTGATGATTTGATCTTTGAAAAGTGTAATTGTTATTCATATTTTGATATTTTTTATTTCTTTAGTTGTTTATGACTAGATGATGATGTTTGACCTGAAATTCAAGACTAAAAAAAGTCCTTTCTCTTTAGGGATAGACCTAGAGCACTAGTTGTTTGGCTAGGGATAGGGTGAAAATTGTTTGATTGATTGATTGTGCTTAATTTGGGGATTGTGTTGATTAATTGTAGAGATTTAAGTGATTAATGGAAGTTTGCATGTGTGTAATTCAATTAGGCCTTGAGAATTATGCTAGATTGCATTGTAGTTTCTAATGATACAGACCATTGATTTAGGAATTGCAATTGTCTATTGAACTCGATTAGTGATGCTCCTAGTTAGAGTCTCTCGTAGTTGGAGCTAGTTTAACCTCTAGGAGATAGCTTGTTGACTCTTTTAATTGATCTTGCCATTAGTCTTCACAAACATTGACTTGCATGTATTTCCGATTTGCTACAATTGTTATGATTACTTGTTGATCTCCGTTCCTAGTGTTTTATTTGTTTGGTTCTTCGTTTTGTTAGTTGGTTAGTCTTTACCTCTAATCCTTATACTTCGACCTAGCTTAGGCGCATAATTGAGAGCACTTGAACATTACCGTTCTTTTGGGATCGACCCCTGACTTGCCTCTAAACTAGTATTTAGGTTGGTTAAGTGTTTATAAATTTAGTTTAATCGAGGGAGGATTAGTTTCAACGACCTAGTTCCACTTGTCGACAAAATGGCGTCGTTGCCGGGGAATGGCGTAGTTGTTTGCTATTGTTGTTGAGTCTATTTCACCTAATTTCAAAAATACAAAAATATTATTCTCTTTAGGCTACATTTTGTAGCCGTGCTATTGATATTTGCTTTGAGTTTTTTGTATGCGTAGGATAAGAGGCATGACTTTAGTGCCATTTGATTTGTAAATCAAGATAACAATAACAAGGATAAGGGTTGCTAATCGTTCTTTGAGTCCAAGCTCTCCAAGAGAGGAAATTCACCAATAAAGAGAAGAGAAGGATCGACTAAGCATGGGAGCTAATCCAAGAGTTGCTTTGAAGGAGTTGGGAACTCCCAGTGCTTATAGATTTGAGGGTGGCATAGCTCCACCAACAACGCCCGCCAATGACTTTGAGATAAGGCCGACAATGATAACAATGATTGAACGAAGGCAATCTAGTGTTGCCAAGCATGAAAGCCCACTAAACCATATCAAAGAGTTTGAGAATTATTGTAATACCATCAAGGTCAATGGGGTTTCTCACAAATTCATAAGGCTCAAGCTATTTCCATTTTCCCTAATCGGAAGGGTTTTGGAATGGTTGGACAAGAAAGTGAAACCTAATTCCTTGAGAACGGGATGAGGTTACTAAGGAGTTTCTTTCCCGTTTTTATCCTCAAAAGAAGACCGTCGAGGCAAGAACTCTAATCCAAAGTTTCAAGCAAAAGCCCAGTGAGAGTTTGTATGAGGCTTGGGAAAGATACAAGGAGAACAACGAGAATGTCCTCATCACGGAATTCCGACTTACGAAATCATACAAATTTTCTATGGAGGATTGAGCCCCCAAGAGAAGTCGTATCTTGATGCTGGAGGCCCGATTATGAATAAGACCGAAGAAGAGGTTGTTTATATAATGGAAGATGTAGTTCGTCACTACATGGATTGGCAAGAGGGAGAGAGAGAGTCCACACGCAAGAGTGGCTAAACGGTTTATTCGATTGATTATCTCAATGAAATCAATAACTTGTCTTCCCAAATCTCAAACTTGAAAAAGGATGGAGATGACATTGATTAAAGCAAAGCCAGATAGTGCCTCTTGAATTGCACCAAGTCTTCCCTCCAACATAAAAGGGAGAGGTACACCTTCTAACTTTACTCCTCCTTCTACCTCTAATTGTCCAAATGCTTTTGAAAATTTTGATGATATTGAAAATAATGATTGTGAACAAGTTAATTTTGTTTCCAATAATAACAATGGACAAAGATTTGATGGTCCAAGGAATCTTGGGAATAGGAATTCTCACCCACAAGGTAGTTTTGATAACTACAACAATGGTGGTTATAGGAACCAAGGAAATCTAGGTTTTCGAGGTAACTATACAACCAAGGTTATATTAATCAAAACCAAAGCCAAGGGTATGGAAATCAAGGCCAATCTCATGGTTTTGGTGACCAACACCAAAATTTTCGTAGCAATCAAGGCCGAGATAATTTGAACAATCAAAATAGGGGAAATTTTCAAAACAACAACCAAAGGGGACCCCCACCTAGATTTGCTCTAAGACCTTAAGGCAATGGTGATAATTTGTATTCTCAACCCCCATCTTCCAAGACTACCTTAGAGGAGATAATTGAGAATATTTTGAACACCTACATGTCGGTGAGTGTAGACACCTACCTTTGGCCTCTTGTCCCGAAAGGAAGTGCAATGATGTTACAAAAATCCGTTCTTCATGTTAGATTAAAGTCAAAGTGTTTATGGACTACAAAAAGCATTATGAAGTAAGTTAAAACCCATATTTGAGACCAAGTTATCTTAGAGCCTTTTTCAATTACTAATTAGGCCTAAAACGTGTTCATACATGTTTAAACTTGATTAATAACGGACCCAAATGCGTCAAATGCAATGATTGGATCCAATGGAACCTGCATTGTTTAAAACAGAGCCAAACAAATAAAATAACCATCAAATTCCCAAGCAAGGCCTATACATATGGATAGCCCTTTCAAATAGCTTTCCAACAGTATATTAAAGTCCAATTCAAAGCCAAATCGAAGAAGTTATGATCAAAACACTAAACCAGGCCCTAAAACCGACACCCTTGCACTCCAACGGCCATAATTTTTTATCCATAAAATATTTTAACCTAATTCTACCGAAAATATAAATTACACATTCAGAAATTTCCAATGATATCTCACACGCCTTAATCTGACTCCGCAAACAAAAGTTATGGAAGTTTTAAAAACGCGCTTTCGTATAAGGCAAACCGTAAACCAGGGCAACTTAATCAGTTGCGCGCGCCTGCCGCACGCGACTCATTGAGATGCGCGCGGTACCCATCGTAACTCAATGAGTTGCGTGCGCCACCTGAAGGCGTGGCTCTAAAACCCTAAACCTAGATCCCTACGCCTATAAATAGGGGTCTTTGTTTAGCATTACGAGGACCGGAAAAATCAGAATTAAAACCCTATTATTCTCAAAACCCTAATCTCTCTACTTCTCTTACTATCATAATACTTTTCCCTCTTTCTTCCCAATATATTCAACCCTAATCCATCCATTAAAGCTCTTGAAGGTAAAAAGAAGAAAGAAACTCCATAAACACATTAACGGAGAATTAATATAAAAGATGAACGGTTAGTTTCCTGAGCACTTAGATAAATCACTTTTCCTTTATTGTTTAAATAACCTTAATTGAATAAATAGTGTTGTTTTATCACTTTAAACAAAATTTTAATTAATTAATTCACATAGTATGCTTTTGTTAATCAAGAATAGAATTTGATAATTAATTGTTGTTTTATCACTTAAGATAAGGCGAATATTGATTAAACAAAGAATAACGACTTTTGCGATGTAATTCCTACGTGATTAATGCTTGTAAATAAAATAAATTAACTTAGTCTTTAGGTATCACGTTGGATATATTGTTTGGTAATGAAATTATGAAAAAGGAAGAGCTAGTAGAGGCCGTACTAGGGCTAGAATAGCGATTCCTCCCTAAAAGGAACGTTATTTTAGTACCCTTGCTCCCGAACTCATTTCTGGTTTATGTAGACCAATTTGGGCATGGGTAAACTTACAATTCGTGCTAATTATTCCATGAACTCCACATGGAAGAAAGACATGAACGAGGTTTATGAGTTTTCTTAAAACTCATTGGCAACTCCTACTTGTTTCTTACAAAAAGCGTGATGAGAGTATCATTTCTAATTCAAGGTCTCCCAAACATTCAAGAATTCAAATCCTAATACACCCTAACAAATGTAAAGTCTTAGGCTTTTAAATGGACATGGGCATATAAGGAAAGACCCCCTTACGATGGGATCACCCTCCTTACAGTGGCGACTCCG